GGGGGGGGGGGGGGGGGGGGGGGGGGGGGGGGGGGGGGGTTGGGAAAACATGCCTGGCCTCAAGTGGAAATGAATTCCGTTTTTTGCCCGGCGGTTGTGGTGGCATGTCGTGTAAGCCCGACGGCTCTTAATGCAGTTAATCCAGTGGTGAAAAGGAATCGGTTAAGAGAATCCAACAAAAGGTGGAAACGAAGAAGCTGTGAGTGAAATTCCAGCATGGCTTCGGCGCCCCAGTGACGGGGATCACACCCAGCACCCAAGTGGGACGGCTGAGCGGTTCACACTCTGACATTGGTTTTCAGTTAGCTCAATTCCCACGTCGAGAAGGAAGGTGAGTGAACGGAAAGGCGCATGAGTCAGCAAAACAGTATTGTTGAACAAGAGTTTCTCAAAACGCTCAAGTGAAAGCGGCGATCAGCTGCGGCAAAACGCGGCAGGAAAGGGTTTAGGGAGATAGCATGCAGGAACCACCATGAATCAAATCGAAAGTGGAAAAGCTTGAGCAACAGTTTCCGGTGCAGGTACGTCGGCAAGCGTCCTTGCCGATATCCTCAGGACACTGCAGAGAGCTTTGTTAAGTGGAGCTCTGGCCTGCTCCACTCCCCTGCTTGGAAACATCGGAACCCTTAGGGACAGGGGTTGACCCACACACACACACACACAAAGGATTGTTCCAAGCCCGCATAGTTACCTGGTTGGTTTGATAGAAAACAAGGCGCCACCGCATAGCGATACTGCAGCGGGTGCGTCCGCGGCAAGAAGAGCGGCATAGAGGTGGCTGTGGAGAGCCTGGCAAAGACGAGGACGGAACATCTCTGTGTCTGAGATTTGCCTCAGACGTCCTATTTACAGACTGACTATGTCCTACAAGTAGTATGTAGAAGAACTCTCTGTGTCAAACAATCTTGGCTTAGCCTCGGACAGAAACCCTTCAAGATTTGGGTCCAGAAACTTTGGGTCAGATTCATTCCGTGAAAAACATTCGTGTATATAATGATTGAAGATCTGAGATCCAATATTGACATCTCTCATGCTTAAAACTGTTTGGGCCCTTCATGTGTGACTCCAGTAGTCAAGTTGAGGAGGTTACTTACCTTAGGGCGCCAGGGTCTGAAGCTGGGTGGGGATGGGTTGGTGGACAGCTCGGTATTGTTGTTCTTCTGGCTTCTTTTGGGGGAGGATTGCACTTGGCTTCCTTAAAAGACATGGTCTTGGTCGCTGGGCTTCGGTTTCACATGCACATCACAGCGCCTCTTATCCAGCGTTCTTCAGCACCTGTGACCCTGGAACTCTTCTCCAGACCCACCACAACACAATCGAACCGCTTCCCCCACCGGCGGCTGTCAATTGGAAGTGCGGACCCGCTCGCATCACCTGAACAACCACTGGAGCCCAGGGCGGACCAGCGTTCGTGAAGCCAGTCGAATGCTCAGTGAATTTTGTTGTGGATGAGAGACTGGTGATCATGAACCTCTTACTGGGACAGTAAAGAAGTCGATAGATCGTTTGGAACTTCTGCCCTGCAGCGCCAGCGCCTATTACAGCGTTTGAAGGGATCTCACGTGGCGCAAGATCTGTTTTTTTGCTTTGTGAATAGATGTAAATATATGATATTCGTGATATTAAATAACTATGTGAATCGTATAGGCTTGAGGGTGACATTGTGAGGTAACCCAGGCTTTCTCAGCCCAAACCAAGGTGTTCAGATCAAGTCTTCAGGAAATCCAATCCACAGGACGGCCTTGCAGATTGCGTCTTGAATATATACTAACTCTTCTATCCAGATGAAACACCTCACGTTCTATTGATCACCAAAAGGGTCCTTGAAAACTGCAAGTTCGTCATAACCAGATGACGGCGATGAACACCGGTGACTTCTCATCGAACTTTCCCACTTCCTTGCTCGCCGATTGAAACCGGGCCGCTGCTTGTGCTTCTTGGCCGCAGCAGCTGCGCCCGCAAGGTTACATCGGTGCCTGCCTGAGATTGCTCAGTAGCCCGGTTTTCACGGCAAACGAGCTGGCGAGAAATGCGAAAACAATGGATTTCTTCACGTTGAGAGTCTTCATGACTTATCTGCCCCGCACAAAGACAAAAGTGGTCACCCGATCTGGCAGCAAAACAAAGGCTCAGTGCTCAAATGTCCAAACCTTAAGCCCAAGTAACCAAGTCCGGTAAGTTTCGCAACTTCAAGTTTCCCCACCAGGCAGGAAATCCTTCAAAGGACTTGTCTCCCTCTGCCCAGGTTTGACCAGTGGGGCGCCTCTTCTGGAAGGATCACGGTCTCATCTTGGAAGGACTCCAGGTCAGCTTGGCTGGGCACCTAGGGCAACACGTGAAGCAGCGGGTGCTTCAGGAGCCAGGCCCTGCTGAAAAACCATTAAGGTGGTGCGTGATTGCTCGACCATATCAGGTCATAGAAACTCCAAAACCATCTCCAAACCATCTAAAGAACGACATCAAACAAGACTTTGATGTCATCTACCTCGTGTTTTCCTATGTTGTCCACTGAGGACCCCACAAAGGAAGGCTCAGCCACAGCAGTGGTTCCTGAAGCGCCCATCAGCTCACCTAGGGCTCACCATCGGGGGACGGGCTGCCCGGTGCTTGGTGAGACAGTGAGAAAGTGTATATATCAGCAGATCTGCGGTGCAGATTCGAGCTCAATGATCATATGCAAAAGGATGGAAAAGGGATTCAAAAAACAAACAATCACACACATCTCTGACTGGCCTTTCATAGAAAATGAATGTTTGGTTCTTCGCCGATTGCAGGAAGACACTCACATGACATATATAATCCCTTGGCAAATCGCCACACTCGCGGCGCCCTGAGCAGCCATGTACCAAGGATCGACACCTAGAGTCCCTAGAGTTGATCTAGGTCTGAAACTTCCAAGCTTCAGTGGTCGCTTGGGGACATGGGATAGGTCCGATAGGTTCTCTTTGGGCAACCAGGTCAAGCAGTCTATCTCATCACGTGGTTTCTACAGCAGGTCAGGAGGCTAAGCAGCTAAAATGTGGTCTTCCCAGTTTTCAGGGGCACGATTTTGGAGAACAGTCACGAGTTCCCCCACGAGTTCCCCCAAACGCCATTCTCTGGGAAAGTGAGAATGAAGAAAACCTATATATATATATAATGTCTTCTAATTTACAGTAAGGAGCGCAGGCAGTCACTCAAAATACTCAAATGAGAATGATGTGATATGTGCAAGCTGCATGGCACGGGTCCTTCATCTTCCTTCCATTCTTCACCCATCTGTCGAGCCACAAGCAGGAGTTGACTCCAGATATCCTTGCCACAGTGCCCAAGCGCAAAGCCTGGCTGCAGCACTGCAACTGCCCTGCTGGGCCAGATCATGGCTAGATGCGTCATGTCCCAGAAGATTGATGGCTTTTTTGACCTCTGGCTTCCAAGTGAAACATGCCTTGTCAAGTCAAATTGACTGACCAAAAATTGATGCCTGAACTGAGAGAGGGAAAATAGTTCCGAAACCGCCAGGGGGGCCTCTCTATTCAAATACCAATCCAAGCAGGACATCTTACTCCTCTCAACTTGCAACAAACCGTTTTCGCGCAACAACGACCCTGCTGGGGTTTGATGATCTTCCTCCAGCTAGGAAGGTGGGTGTTGAAACGAGTTATTTTCCAGATGTGAAACACACCAATTGGAAGCGCGGTTTTTTGGGGGGCTTGGACATGCCTGAGACGAATCGATCGAACGGCCCATGGCAATGAGGTCCTATCACCTATGGTTCAAACTGTTTAGTACATCGGTTCATCACAATATCATCACGGGAACAACTGTTGTCGGGCATGATTTATCCGCAAAATGGCCAGGAAGCTTGGCGTCCACATCTTGCGGTATGCTACTCGGTTAGTCATTGAGCCATGGCAGTTTTTATGGGGACCACACCGCCGTCGGTTGGCCCTTTAAGAGACACATATGCCTGGTATAGCCCGCAGGCACTGTGATGAGCTGCACTGGCAGGGTGCCATTCATCGGCAGCTCACAGGCCTTGGTTTGGGCACAGTCGTCTTATTCGTCAGAATAGTACACTCTGACTCACTAACATGGAAGTGGAGGGCCCACCTTTCGCAAGAACCCCAAAAGGCCATAGGTGCATTTTCCACTTCCATGTCGTGTGTTCGGACAAATAGATCCACCACAGTCACCTTTCCCGGAATCAAATGGCTTCACGGACCCTTGATCCCGCCCGATTCAGGGGGGGCGCTCGGACTCTCTGCATTCGGCCTGGGCCAAGGGTCTGTGTGAAAGGGATGAAGCCTGATGGGTCAACCACTTCAGGGCGAAGATGCAACTTGATTGGTGCATGTCATGATATCTTTGATGTTTGGTGTCAATGGATTTGCATGGATGTGCAATACCGCCCACCCATTGCAAGCCAAAAGCCATCCTCAACGAGAGAATTGAATACATCCTGTAGCTTCAAATATATGAATAGCCTAATTGATCAATCTCATAAGTGGCTTTAGCTTTGCTCAACTCCTCTCCTCATCAACATACCGATGACTCATCAGGCTCCAAAGCGCCGAACAGGCCAAAAGACTCGGGAAACCGCTTCAAACTCAGTGATGCAGCCGAGTCGGTTCCGGTTCGGTTCGGTTCTTCTGCAGTCCTCCCGTTCGCTCGGACACCGAGGATCCACGCCGCGCTTTTCGCCACGTGAGCTCGGTCACTCACCACGCTGTAAAAGCACCCGACCCGTTTGCCCGCGGGAGCCGAGTGACGTGTGGCCAGGCACAAAGCTCCACATCGCTACTGCACAGCTTTGTGACTCACGTGTGATTGAAGGTGGCTGATCGGGGCGCCCTCATGGGTTTTTTGAGGGATCACACAAACCATGAGGTATCAAAGAACGTTTTGCACAGGGTTTTTGTCTCATCTTGTATATCCAAACGTGTCCACCTATGATATAGACGACTCGTGGTGGGCGTCTATTTGATGGGGCCACTGCAATGACAAGACCATCTTTTGTGAGCCTTCGTTTTGTGGGTTCCAATACCAATCTTTCTTGAAAAGAGTGAACATGTGTCAAAACCATCTGAATCTGTTCCCAACCCATTCCCCTAGCCTTGCTAGGTGTCCATCTCGCTTCAGGAGCTACGTTCGGTTCGCGTCCGATCGCTCCAATTCGTCGCGTGCGATGCCCTGACCGCTCCGTTCGGTGCGCGTCCGATCGCTCAAGTCGTCTCCTCCACATGTCAGGCCCATGGAGCGCCGTGCGGTAGGCCGTGGGACGAAAGGCTTCCTCGATGCTGGCGACGCTGGCGGTCACCGCAGGCACCTGGGTCATGGCGCACACATCTGCCGCGGGGCTCGGTGGGGTGGACGGGGAGGGTCATGGCGGATGGGGGCGGAAGCTGAAATGACCTGCAGATCTGTTTTCATGCTTACAGTAACAGGAATGATGAGCCAAGATGATCTGCTCGAAGCTGCGATGTCTTGGGACATCCCATGACAGAAATAGAATGAAATAGACTTACAGTAAAAGTATGTAAAAGTTGTAATAAGTCTTGGGATGTCTTGGGATGTCTTGGGTGTCAAAGTGGGATCCCGCTTTTGGCCAGTACCTTGTTCATCCTTTTTCACCTCTTCGCTTCGCACGGTTCGGTTCAAACATAAAAATCCGCCGAACAAGCGCGAGGTTTCTACCCACCACCACTCCTACCACCTAACAGGCCCGACACAGTCTAACCAATGGGTCTTCAGAGTCTGCACGTCCACGACTGGGGTGGCGTGATCTGATCATATCTGGTCGTAACTGGTCGGTTTCTTCGGGTGGCACTGCTAAGGTTTCCCCGCACCGGTCGTCCCCTTTGTTCTCGCCAACCGTGCAGGGCTGGTCATCATGAGAGCCAACAAATTGGAGATCCTGTGAATATGACGATGACCATATATATATATTATATGAGACCCAATAGCTGACCCAATACGGATCTTAGCAAACACACTAGCAAATACGTCTCCATGATTCTCCATGTGTCTCCACAGTGCTTCGAAAATGCCGACGCATCCCAGGCCTCCACCAAGAATGGAGATGGCACCTGGAGTTGCTGGAAAGGTCTTGTGAGAGCATTATGCAAAAAACAACTGAGTGAACTCCCCTTCCAACACGTTTGATCTCAGTTCTCTATGCGTTAAAGACCTTGGCAAGCGCTTTCCCAGGCAGTCGTGATGGACGCATCCTCGCTGGGAGGCTTCTTGTTGATCTCACAGGCGGCTTCGGCGTCACTTTTTGAGTTGGTCCCCCCATTCCCACCTCTCGACTCCAAGTTTGCTGATTCAGCCACTTCAAATCACTCCCTTCTGTTTGGAACCTCAAAAACGAACATCAACCATATCTCAGGATGCCTCCATCCGGAGGCATCTTGGAGGATCTAGGGGTGGTCTAGAGTCTATGGGCACATCACGTTCCGCCCGTCTCCGCCGCGCTGCATCGCTCAGCTCCAACGGCTCATAGTGCAACGTGAAGAAGCACTCTGCTGCCTGGCCCTCCTGGAGGACTAGAACCAATGTCCAAGGCGGCACTGAGTTTGACCAAAAATGATGCAAATCATGGAGAATGCCTCCAAAGACCTACCAGTACCGGAGTTGGAGTCTTCTCATGTATGTGAGCTGGTAGAGTGGTATGGTGGAGATTGGCTGGTGATTGGCTGGTCAGCCGTGGGGTGTCCGGTCAAGTTGGCTTGCAAACAAGTTGGGCGCCCGGCGCACCAGGCGTGGCAGGCGCCCGGGAGTCGGTCTGACAACACTGCTTCTCTTCCATCCATACATGAGACGAGTTGTTGGTTGATTTTGGTTAAGGTGCTTCGACAGCACAACTGGCAGAGCAACTTTCAAAGTATTGCCTCCCAAAACATCCCCAGAACAGGTTTTAGGTTGAACATGGTTGAACCATCCATACCCTGATCATCCTAGTTCTGAGTATTCATATCCAACTCGAAATAGTTGACACAAGTTACACTCAATGAAGCAATCATGAAAGTGGAACAAAACATTACAAAACCAAATTTCCTGAAACCAGGAAGGTCTGCTCAGCTTTGTTGGAGGGAGGGTAAGTAACCAACTACCACCAGACCACGAGGATTCAATATGATTCTATCACGCTCTCGATCGCCGCTCGCTGGCTCTCCGCTCCTGAAGCCACACCATGGCTTTGGGCATCACCGCGCCAGGCTCCAGGATCTGAGATCGACTCGATCGACCGAGAGCGCCGAAGCACCGACTCTCGCGGCGCCCGTCCCGACCGGTTCCGTGGCGCCCGTCCGATGACGATGGCCGTCTTCCGGTGATCGAAGCGGGCCGAGTTTCTGCAGACTTGTCAAGAGACGAGCTAAGCAAGAGTTTGGTGACATGAGTGTCGAAGTCGAAATACCTTTGAATCTTTTTGTTGCCATACATCTAGATCTTTCGGCAAGCGTGGTAAACATCAGCAAGTCGTGTCCTTCCGTTGCATTGTCCTTCCCGTTGCATCGGCTAAACCCATGTGGTTAGGGCAATTCCAGAGACCCAGACCGAGAGACGTTCGACCCCACTGAGCTGTTCGTGTGGAGACGAGACCCCAGACGAGACCCCAACACCTCCAGCATGAGCTGAACTCCTTGGAGGTCTCAGCTGCTGAACTGACGGGAGAAGGAACAAGGGTCATTTAGACCAAAGGTCACCTGGCTCTCACATATGGATCCGTTATAGGGACCCATGAAAACACACCATCGTGTGAGCTTCCAGGTTGGTCAGTCTTTGATTCTGCTAAAATGTTTGAAGATATTCCAAATCGTTCAAATGAGCGAATCTGGAATATCTTCAAATAGTTCAAGCCTTGCCTTTGGAATTGCTTGAAGATATGCCAATTCCTTGCCTCCAAAGGTGCGAGACTTGAAGTGACCAACTCCATCCCCCCGAGCGCAGCGCCAAAACAGAGCGCTCCACCGGTTTCCGCCCACTCCTCTGCGAGTCCAGAACGGTGCTCGCGCGCCTGGACCACTTTGGGCAAGGGCGTGCGTTCGCGGAGCCACAGAACGGTGCTCGCCAAAGGGAATGACCACAAATACCCTGGACGCCTGGAGCAGCTGCAGGAGGCTGCAGTCGGGAGAACACACAAAAGGCGGTAGTTCAACCGCTAGTGAAATCCCAGCAATGCAGGAGGAAAAAGGAAATGATGGTTGCCTCCACTAAGAGATGTCCATCTTTTTTGCCCATTTGAGCAACGCTCAATGAACTAGCAGCATGTAGTGAACTAGCCCAAAATAGTTACATATGATCTTTTACAAAGTGGGGCCAGCCTCCTTTATTTTGCTTTATTCTCTATTTTTTGGCCAGCCTCCACGGGTCATTTACCAAACTACTAAGCCTTCGCGACCTCCCGGGGCCTCACAGTGGTGAGGATCGTCACATTCAGCGTCAGCGCCGCCGCTGGGGCCTGTCATGGGCCAGCAAAAGTGGTCTAGAAAATCGATGGAGGTGGTGATCGGCTGAGGCAAAACCATCCTGAACATCCCAGTGCTTTTATGGGAGGCTGAGGACTCAGACTTTTGCAACCCCCAGGTCGTGACGAAAACTAATTGGGCCGAGAAAACGAAGTTCGATGACCTTTAGCTGGATTAGAAAAATCGGTGGGCCGTTTTGGGCAGAGATTGGTCCTTCGGTCCTTGGGTTGTTCGTGCGTAGAAGAGTTGTTCATCTCAGTAACGTCTCTTCACATCCCATCTTTCTGGGAGCTCATCATGTTTCTCTGTTTCTCTCTTTGGGGGTTCCTCTTTCTGCGCCTCCTGCAAGAGGGTTTCCAAGTAGAGCTTTCGAGGGCCATTGTAAGGAAGCCAGCTGCAGTCTTTGATGAACTTGCTGCTGTTGATAGTGGACAGGTAACCTCGAGCGCAGGAGTATGTATATAACTTTGCTGTGAACCCGACAAATGTGAGCACTGCAGACCATGAAGCAGAAGAAGAAGAAGAAGAAGAAGAATGAGACGAAGGAGAAGAAGAAGAAGGAGAAGAAGAAGTGGCGGCCAAACCGTGGATGCTACATGTTAGTCTTCTTATATATTTTCGATCACCGTTGATTGCCATTTGCATCTGAGAGTTTGTCATGGTGTCCCCCTGCCACTCTTTACTTCGAAGAGACATTTTCTCAACATTCAATTCACTTTCTTGGTGGCAGCTTTGTGAGGGGTACCAGGGTAGACCGTCAGCCACTTCTTTGTGCGATGTGGTTCTTCAAGGATGCTACGCTTTGGTCATGCCGCCATGCCGCCATGCCGTGGCCAAGACCGACCCGCGCAACACCACGAAGACCGGTTGGGCAACGGCCGGACTGGCGGGCGGAGCGTCTCCTCAACTTGACGGACCGGCTTTTCGACAGTGAAGTCACGGTGACTTTAGTCTTAGAGCTTTGTGCCTAAATCTGGATGGAGGACATGACTAGCCACCAGACACGACATACAGCTCTTCTCCTGCTCGAGGGTGGCTTGGAGTCTTACAGCTATGGACAACATCTAAATCATCCAAACTCCGACAAGCCTTGAACTGATAGACAAACAATGACCCTCAATGACGAATGAGGAAGAACTGGTCATGTTGGTCAATTTTTTAAATGACCCCAACCCGGTCAGTTGGTCAGTTGGTAGACCATAACCCTCTATATATCCGACTCTAGCCCTCGCCCTCCCAAATGCTTCATGGAGCTGTAGGGAGTTGCGAGTACACAGCTTTGCCGCTCAGCATCTGGTTGACCCACCTGAGCTTCGGCGCTTCGCGTCAGAAACGATAATGTGAACTGGTCGGACCCTCCGCACCGTCCAGGTGACGAACCAAAAATGGAATCAAATTCTGAACGAACAAACCAAACATCGACAAGCCCACAAAAAACAATCGTTCGCATACGTTTTTTGACGCATGGATTCGGGATTTTTGCTGGGTCCCAGCAGCGATGTCCCAGTTTGGAAGGTTTTTTCATGTGTTGTTGTTCATTTTTCTGATATCCGACCATAGAACATCACTGTGACTTGCATCATTGGGATGATGACCCGCACCGTGGAGAGACATGACTTGGTCTGCACCGCTGGAGATTGAGATGGACCGCAAGAGTGAAGACTTGAAAGACAAAGATGTTGCAAAGGCTATGCTGCAATGGGTCCTGCACTTGCATGGTGAGTGTTGCTAAGGGTCTACAATCCCTCCAGCTCACATACAATTGACTGACCGTCCTTCTTCTGTCGATTGATGTTGTTTAAAGTCCTGGAGAAACCTGGCAGCCTGGCTGTGGGTCAAAACTGATAGCCCTACCTGCAAGGTCAAGCTACATGGTGTTGTGGCTCCAGGTTCTGACCCATTCCCATGTGGGTATGGGTATGGTAGTAGAGAACGTTGTCCAAAGCTGTTGACTTGCCATGGGAAGTTGTGATGGTTGAATCAACTCGCAGTGTGCCAGGTCTGGGGTGGTTTTCATCCAAATGCGACTATGTTCAGGTATGGAGAAACAACAACAAACCGATGTATATATATATTCTATATAATTGATTTAGAAGAACACATTGTTAGACACAATGTTTACTGTACCAAAAACACTGGCCTTAGGGGCACTTTGTGTCTTCTTTGCTACTGGGGCCAACTCAGACAACTAGTCCCGCACAACCATCCAGCCCAGGCACCGAAAAGCTCAAAAAACTTGACACTGATGGCAACACCTGCCAGAGCTGCCCCGCGGGCATATAAACTTGGAGCGGCCATTGCCTGTGATAATTTAGATGATAATTGGTGATCAACAAGTAAATGAAAACACGAGCATAAAAAGGCTGCTTGTAAGGAAAAAGAGAAAAATAAGTATTGCTATAGGGCTATGGGTGAAATTCAAAATGCAGCGGACTATAGGATGCTATGGGTGGATGTTCACACCACTGGGCCCATGTTGCGGTGTCGATTGGTTGCCCAAAACCCCATTAGACATGAGGCAATCATGTGAGCTCGCTGACTTGTAGGTGCGTGTGATCTTATCTACTCTAGACCAGCAAAAAGACTTATATATATAATGTAGGCTGTTGATTAATTAACAAAGCCCCCCATACTAAAAGGTTTTACAGACTAGATGAGGGTCTCTTGGGGCTATCATATCCCTCTATTATGCCCCCAAATAAAACTTTTCTGCCCCAGTGGCCTACTTCGTGAGCACGCAGTCTTTGGGGGTCCTTGAACCCAAGGGATGCTTAAGGCTGACCTTGTGCTAAAGATCTGGACTTTCCCCCCTCTTCCCCGCCTTGAAAAAAACAACGCCTATAGTTGAGGTCGCCAAGGACTACGACATTTGTCAGGGACGACAAGAGTTGCTGCGATCTACTGTTACTGAATTCACCAGCTGCCAAAACACCTCTTGAACAAGACAATTCTCTGTCGAGGGGGATCTTTGCCCCTGGGCAGCAGTAAGTGAGGTCTTTGCCTCATGCAGCTTCGTACACATGTGTAGTCTAAAATGAGATGCATTTCAAGCAGGCTGGCATCACTGGAAACCCAGGTCCAACTTCAATTGAACAGCGGCACTGGGTGCTTTGAGGTGACAGGTGCTCAGGTTGTCTTAGTCCTTGTTTTGTCTTAGGAGACCGTAGCCTTCGTTTGGCCAGTGCCAAGCAAAGTCACGCATCTTGGCAAAAGTGTATAGCAAATGGAAGAACAGGAAAAGCCCTGGGTGGCCAGCCACAACATAAGGCTGGAGCCGTGCCTGATTGTGTTGAGCCACATGGCATCAAAGGCCCAACAAGTAGAGCCTAACATCATCGACTGCGCAGGATGCATCAGGACATTTGGAAAGCAGTTGAAGAAGTCCCTAGTTGCCTCCGTACGCACAACGGCCAACCACACCATGGTGCAGGTGGTGTACAACACGGCATACGCGCAACCGATCAGCGCGAGCCAGCTGAGAACCACATGAATCTCATTGCAGGGAACCTGGCCACAGTCGATCCATTCTGAAGCGTCTGCCTCCTCTTTGATAGATTCTCCAGTCTTATCCATGGTGAGCAGTAGAGCTGCCACCACACCGATGGTCGTGAAGGCAGTGATCAAGGACTCACGTACTTTCTCCAGCTCTCCATCTGAGCTACTCTCCACGAATCGGTGCAAAATGGAAAGGGGCATGGCCAATCCTTTTTTTTCCCTACAAGCACAAGGGGAACTGTGAACACCTCATGGAACTTTGAGCCTCAAGCAAGGATCGGATCATCCCCTTTGGACTGGTTATATCTGGTTATATGGCAGGTTCCGTGCAGCTTTCCAAAGCAAAAATTGATATGGCTCCAAACGCCGTAACACTAGGGTACCATCCAACCCCCTAGAAAAACAACATGAGACTGATCCACCTGCAGGTACCAGAAGTTCCGAGGGTCTTACTTTCTGATCCGAACAAAACTGTTGAAATTCAACTGTGGCCTGGAGCTGTGGCGTGATGGTCAGCACGTTCCCAGACACCTCCGCTGGCTGCGAAGCGCGTGGGACTGCGCGCAGTGAAACCGACCGCGCTGACCGCGTGGTCGGAGATGGCGAATGTCAGTGACGGTGTGGGAAGTGTGAAACTGGGGGTCTTTGACAACCAGTCTTGGGCCTGACCGTATCTTTAATATTTCAAGATCAGCTTGACAAACATCATTCATTGTCCTTGTTCAGCTGAGAGGTCCTGCCAGTTTGTTTTTTAGTACAGTTCTGTCGCAGGGAAAGTCTCGGAATCACTTCTTGACTGATAGCTGATAGCCAAAGCAAGAGGCTTCAGCCCTCACCTTTTGCGGGCTCGTCTGCAACATCATATATATATATATAGTAGGTTGGAGAAATATGGGTGTGTATTAAAATTAGGAGACCTCACAGTTCGATTGTATGCAAGAAGAAACATAGACCAGTCTACCCATTGGTTGAGGATATCTCCCTATGAACACACACATACACACACCCCTTATTATCACCCCATATGTCTTTGCCCCGCATGCCCAAACCACATCATCGGCCTCAGGAAAGGCACGGAAGGTGAGATCCTCTACGCTGGGCTCAAGTTCTTTGGGCACAAGCAGTGTGGCCGCTGGACTCTCAAGCTGCCCTGGAAGAACGAGTTCGCCGGCGGTTTCTCGGGCAATTCTGTCCATGACTGAAGTGGGTTTGAAAGCGTTTGATAGATGGAGAACGGGGATATCCTCCTGTATCTTTGTGGGTCACTGTCGTGGTTTTTCTTGGGAACAACCCCTCTGAAACGAATGTTCCTTTTTGTGGAAGCAAGCTACACTCCCAAATAACACTATATAAGACTATATACATTGGAGAATGGCCTTGCCGAAGGGGTTCTTGTCCCATTCTTGGAAAGACACCAAGTCTTCGATAAGCCACACTGGGACAACCTCTATGCTTGCAAATCTGTTGGTATTCATAGCAAGTATTGTAGATCAAACACAATATAGAATAATACAATGTTTGATCAGAAGAGTCGCGACGCTGATGTCGTTGTGGTGGGTACTTTAAACCAAGACCAGGGGGAAGAAATATCCGAAACAAAACAATCTGACCCCAAACGAATTCCACGGTGCAAGTGCAACAGTGAATATTTGGGAACTCTTGAATGATTCCGTCACATTCAACTCCACAATTCCACTTCACAGATCAAGATCCCACAATGAGATATTTATTTTAAAAAGAACCAACAAACATGATAAAAACAAAATGCATCATGATGCATCCATTGGAATCTATCAATCTTGGATAAAATGCATCGACATCCATCAACCTTTGGAATCAGAAACAGCGTTGCAGCGTTGAATTCCGTTCTTGCACGTTCATCCACTCATCAGTTCAGACTCCATGGTTAAATAGCCACCGGCACCACACCAGCACCACCGGTGTGGACAGTGCTTTTATTGAACCATTGTGCTTGCTTGTTTTATATTAAACATGCTTTATATAAGCTAGCACAATTGACCTGGGATACCTGGTATGTTAGTATTAGGATAGGGAGACACCAGGATAGGGAGGTCTCCCTAATACAAAGCCACCTCCCCTCTCCGGTGCGTGGCATGAACGCGTCAGCGTAAGAGCGGCCTGCCACGATTGCATAGGCCGTGACCACGGCGCCGCCCAGGACCTGTCCCGAGGAAGAGGTGTGTGAACTGGTGTTTACTTTAGATATCTTTAGATCAAACTCACAACAGCGTGGGGTTAAACAGAGAAAATATGGGTGAAGCTTGGATCGATTGGAGTTTGTTTTTGGACGTGCCAGGGGGTTCAGATGCAAGCTCTACCATCCAAATCGGGGCAAAGTGTCCTAGTTGCTACTTGAACATCGGAAGCCCCCAACATCTCCCAAGATATAGACTGAAACGACAAGAGTAAAAAGGAGCCGTCAAAGATCAAGAATCATCCTTAGTTATAAGATGTTTGTTATAAGAATTTGGGGATCATCTGCCTGAAACATCTCGAAACACTGCTGCACTGCTGGGGCACCAAGCGGATCTGTCCCTCTTTCCCCCCTAAGCTTGCTGGCTCATTGCCAACTAAGCCTCCCATCTATTCCATCATGTTCCATCACTCCTCTGTTTCGACCTGTTCTTCCGTCCTTTCGACCCGACGAATCGACGAATGGTCCGACGCCACCGTACCGATCGCCTCGCCTCAAAGGGCCCCAGGTAATCGCAAAGCTTTGGGACCTCCACTGCCCTGAAGGAAGGACAGGTGGACAGGTGGCGGACAGTTGCACCCCAGACAGCACCCCGGGCCCCTAAGAGGGGGCGCTTTCAGGGGAAGAGGGATGATGAGGGATGAAAGCCATGAAAGGCATGACGTGGCATGACATCCATGAACCTCATTCCCTTGAGGGGTTGACTAGTGATATTTGAGATCTTGAAATGCAAAAGTGCCTGATCAAGTAACTCATGCTGATGACAAAAGCTGATGACAAACTCTGGCAAAACGTCAATCCGCTGATGATTATTTTGGGTCCTGTTTCAGGTGATGTTGCATGGATGTGGGTCAGAGTCAAACAAGGCAGGGAGAGTGGCTGAAGCTTGTGACTCCTTGCCGCAGAACCATGAAGGAACACTCACTAACCAGTCCTACCAGTATTTCTTGTGATCAAATCCGATCTGTTTCCAAAAAGAACCATCACTGCAGCGTCCAGTATCTGGTAAAAAAGAGACGGTCTAGTGCACCGTCCAAATACGGCAGCTACTTCAGGCCATTCGCTATTTTTTTAAATGGCCTCCAAGCTAATAGCAATGGCCTCCAACCTAATTGGCCTTAAAGCCCGATGATTCTTCCACTCTTTAAACCGTCTCCAAGCTACAAGAGCTGCAGCGCAGTTCCCCCACATGCATTTGGCATCTCCTCCGGCTGTAAACCCGCATTGGGTACGCTGGAGCGGAAGTGCTCCAGCATTGCGCCTGAGAAGTGGCAGTGGGGAGCTGTGAGCTTTTCCACGTCGATGGCTATGTTACCATGTTTGCTATTTGTACTGTTGGTTTCCTCTTCGGAGCTTTGGGATACCGGGTTCTGGTATGGGGCTCAAAAGGGGCTTTTCTTACTCAGAGGATGCGTGAATTCTTTGGGTGATTGCCTTTTCGAAACAGTCATTCCTGGGATCAATCCAAGGAAGCCTTTGCAAATGGAACTCATGCACGTGAGTTACAGGTGGAACTTTTCAGCTCAAAACCCTCCGAGTTCGTGTCAGAACTCCGCTCACAAACAACAATCCTCTCTACATCCAACGCCAAAGCATGGAGCAAAAACGCCGACGAACGGAGCGGCATCGCGCCATCGCTACGGAGCGATCGGACGCGACGGACGAATTAGGGGCTCCTGGCCTTACTACAAACAGAGCAAGGACGCTACTATACGCTACTAGTGAATGCCTGGAAACTTGGATCACCAAGTAATTACGGTCTCACATGGTCAAAGCGCTGGTCAAAGGGTTGGAGCTGTGAGCTTCCAGCTCAACCCAAAAAAAACATTCTGGTCGTAACTTCTATATATAGTATCTTCTAGTCCCTGGATTAAGTATTTCATTCTTTGCTCACGTGAGAAAGAAATCCTTGCTCATTCTCTGATCCTTCCACGTCCGACATTCCTAGCCACCCCCACATCGGACGTTCCACCTGCAGAGGTCAAGGAGGTGAAGTTCTCATGGCTCATGGTCAGTAAGGCCCCATCGCCCACCTGCGCCACCCAGCGCGACCGGAGGGCATATGGGGTTAGTGAACGGTTCACCGACGCAAAGAACATTGACCCAGAAAAGCATATGGCTTGAAGAGGATCTTGTTAACTGCTTGGAACGTGCGGGTCATATTACCTCGTGTATACTCCGTGCATGCATGTGTACACCCAAAAACCTGCAAGCTAGTCTATTTGTCGGTATATTCGATATAATAGTCAATATATTACATGGTACATCGATTATGCTGTCGATGTCCGCTTGTCATTGTAATCATTTGAGCTTGATCTAGTAGTCAAAACCCCAACCTCTTCCCAATGCCACACCCAACTCCCCGGCCGCGTTTCACCTCCGGCTGTCCGACTTCCGAGCGGATCGAGAAGAGCACCCGTGCAGCCGGGTTCCTCAGTGAGGCTGGGGCTGGGTATGGGGTTCTACGGGTTCCTCGAACTCGAAGTGATCCGAAAACTGACTGGTGCGACTCGTAGGGAATGAGGGAATGAACCCCCAATAGAGATATTCCTTTGGATCTAGCCACCCTCATTCTCTAGTAAGCACGAGTCTGTAAAAAGGATCGAACCCGACTCCCTTGATACTCTTTTCACTTTGTCAGGCAACTTTTCTTCACTGCAAACATCGACTTCTCTTTGTCACTTGGTGAGGCAGCGAGGCACAAATGGACGCTGGCCTAGGACCCCCTTCTTGTCTGAAGACCCCCCTTGTTGGGGGTATCACCTCGGCGCGGAGTGGTGAATTGCTCCAAGCTTCGGCTGCAAAAGCTGCACCGTGTGGGTCTGTCTCATAGCCACGTCGCGCTTGGGACCCTCAAACCAGTGATCTCCCAGTTGCCACAGCACCAGCGGTTCCGCATGGATGCTCGGCACCTGCGCAGAAGTTTCTTGGTGTTGTTGTTTGGGGCCGGTTCAAACATGGAAGAGAACGACATGGGAGAGATTTAAAAAATAAATGTCAAAGACGGTAAAAGACAAGTTTTATCATGAACAACGTGCTCAAACAAATGCAACTTTAGGTGTTCCAATAAACAACACCAACCAACACATCTTCTTATTTCTTCCATAGAGGCTCTGCTGGAGTTGCTAGAGGAATGAGTTCCTATCAAGTAGAACCTGATCAGGGAAATCAACTGGTTTCAAAAGAATCTCCTTCTGCCAGGGGTGATTCAATCAGCTTCAAGTACTCAGTGTACTTCGGACAGTTTCCTTGAATTAGGGCTTAACATGGCTTTAACAACCACTACGTTGCTCGCTCGTCGAGGGCCTCGGTACGTGTCTTGATGATCAGCACCCGCACGTAGCCTGGATTCGTCCAAACATATCCTGGCTCCTGGCCGCTGAAAGAATGGACAGCGCTTCGCCTTGGTCTTAGGGGTTTGGGATCCAGCTTTGGTGCGACCAAACGGACTTAGTAAGATGGTCAGTCTGGTTGTTCAAATGCTTCAAACATGTTGCACAAACCTGCAGTCTCTTTGAGTCTCTTGGGTTTTGTCTGAGCCAGGTCCGGCCATTTTTCTGAGCCTCTGAGCGTTTCGGAAATTCCAAAAACGCACTCTCTCCTTTAACCGCCAGTCCACCTGCAACAGAGTGGTTGTGTTGGCTGCCTCGCATGCGTTGTGCAATGGCGACGTCAAAAAGGCTCTTGTGTCGTGGCTGGCATGAACAATAGAGTGGTGAACTCATGGAAGAACAAAGTGACTAAGTGGCCTCCACAATCGGCGGACCACGCAGGCAACTCGATCGAAATGTTATCCAGGAAATTTGCCAGATCTTAGCCAACCCCGGCCAACCCCTCCAATTCAAGACACAGGCCGCCACTGCTGTGGGGATCAGCTGCCCAAGCAAGGGCCGTTCACAAAGCAAGGCTGGATCACCATTTCAACACAAATCTGACAATTCTCAGTGGCATCAACAGAGCAATTCCCAAGGCATGCATATGTGGCGACCAGCGAACTCTGGAACCTTGCTTTTAGAACACCTGAATCAATGATGTCACTAGACGACCAAAGAACATGCAAAATGCAAAGTGCCTCACTGCCTCACTAAGAGGATTGATATTCCGGAGATGTCACTCTACCCTCCCAGAAATGACCTCCACCTCCTTCAGGACACAAAACGTGCCGGGCCTAAAACATCGATGTCGTCGATGCCTTCCCCCCTGGTGCCCCATCTGCCCAAACAACCACGCGAAGCGTCCGGCCGGGTCGTTCCGTTGGTCGCTGCACCCGACGTGCACCTCCAAGTGATCTGAGAGCTTCAGGTGCATGGCACCTCCAGAGGGCACGGCTTGCCAGCTTCCAACGCCCAAAAGGCCACGCCAGAGTCGGTATTGGAGCTGCAGCCTTGGTGTGGCAGAAAGGCAGGTGACAAAGCTTATGTTGACTTCTACCAGCTCTCCTCCCCCCCCCAAAAAAAAATGCCAGCAGCACCTACTCAAGTGAGTTGACCTGGCACATCTGGAACTGATTCTGGTGCATGCGGAGGATGCAAAAAGATATGCAAACCATTAACAAACCGCAGCACAAATCCACCCATTCGACTTGCCCCACCTATTCGAAGCCTTTGAGGAGTTGACCGACCCCGTCGTCTGGTCGCCCCATCGAAAACCCTAAACCGAGGGTTCCCCGGCGCTCAAAAACGATTTCCTCTTTTTTTTAACAGGGGGAAAACCTTGCTCCCTTCGTAGCGATGCCAGGAGCCCCGAACGGCCCTAGCCTCCGATCGCTCCGTCGTAGTACCGCCAGGAGCCCCTACTGTAGTAGCGTCATCCCTGGTAGTCTAATCTGTTCATTTGATCGCCAACCAGGCTGCCCCGGGTGCCCCACAGCCGGGTCTCCGCCTTGGAGAGCTGAGTTTACACCGTCGGTGGACCGGTGCTCCGTCGAGACGTGTCGGCACCGGCCGTCGGCACCGGCCGTCGGCTCCGCTTCCTTCCACGAACCATGGCACGACGAAGTGTCGGTGACGCCCGGCACCTCCAGCAGAAAGGCCAAGGTCTCGAGGTCTCGTTCCACCTGTCCAGGAGGCCACGCCCGGCCGCGGTCTCAGGCACTTGATATTTTGGGGAGAGAGATGGAGAGAGGGCGAAGTGCGGAGGAGGAGGGCAGCGCCCAGGTCTATCGGGTAAAGTGGGTTTAAGGACATGGTAGGACATACAGAAATCCTTTGGGAAAGTTCGAAGCTTTTTGATTCGGTGTGCCCGTTCCAAAGTCGCATCTTCCTTGCTTGGAGTGGAGATTTGGGTGCGCCCCCAGAATGTTATCTCAAGCCGGCACAAAAGAGCTGGCTCGGACTTCGGGCGGCTGAACTTTGCCAAGGAACTTGGTCATTTATACCTTCATTCCAGCAGCGTAGGGAGACACTCACACAATCCATCTTAAAGCCCTTCCAGACCTTTCTTTCTCCAGGCCACTAAGAAGGCACCCTCAGTACTGCTAAAGCCCAGCAAAGGCGAGGGCTCTGGCCAGGTAGCCCTCAATGTTAACCGCGCCTCAAACCGCACATCGCCACAACAAATGCACTCGCAATGAAGAAGGAGAGACTGGGCCAGGCTACTCGTGCTTGTCAGGAACTAGAGTTTTGCTGGTCACAAAAGGGGACATGTGACATATTTACAAACTTGGTAGCAGGTGGTTCGAGGATGGTTTTTTGTCAGGTCCATTTCCATTGCACATGTGAGATGGATGCTGAAGTATTGTCTTGCTGCGGAAGCTGCATCAGGGGCCAACAGAGGAGTGTTTCCAGGCAACTAGGGAGGCCACCTCTAGCAGAAGGGACCATAAATGCTCCTCGTTCACCCGGAGTTTTGGTGCATGATAGTTCTTGCCTGGCTGCAACAACACGGAGTTTTGGTGCTCACGATGTTAGGCCAAACACGGGTACATCTCTGCGGATTGTCCATTCTGTCTTCTCTTGGGGTCTTTGCAGCCTATTGTGCTATCTTTCGGTGGCGATGCCTCTGCCTCCGCAAACTAGGCAGGATCAACAAGATCAAAAAGTCCCCGTCTGATTATCTTTACCCCCAAATATCCCAACCCGCGATTGAAAGCATTCACACTTGCTATTGAGGGATACTTGAGATCTCCTTTGGAAGCTTTCTCATACATGTGCGAACATCCCACTAAACCGCTGAAAACCGCCTTTGACAACATCAACCCATCACGCCAGGTTGCTGCTCCATCGATCCAATAGCTGCAGCTGGTGCGGCTACTCGGGTCGAAACCAGGCTTCTCTGCCCAGCTACTAATGGTCACCTCACCATGCTCCGACGTGTGAGACACGTGCTGCCCGGTGTTGTGCTGCTGGCTGCTGAAGAGTTGCTTCTGTTGGGTGGGGAAAAGAATCTGATGGAAGGTGATGGGTCTACCAAAAGGCTCCCAGTAAAATGTCTTGCTGAGCTTCGCTGCTGTGGCGCTTGATGGCTTTGGTGTTCTTTTTGTTTTTTCGGATCAATTCTTTTGTCTCTTAGAATTCCACATGCGCCAGCTGGACATGGCCCCGGAGTACCAAGGACATGGTCAAGTTTGCCGGCCATCTTTGATGAATCAAAGATCATCAAGGGAAAACTGTCTTACCGCCCTTGCAAAGAAAGTCTATACACATTTGGTCATCGGCACAAGGGGTTACAAGGGGCTCAAAGAGCTACACTCCCTGGAACTAACATGGAAGTGGAAAATTGTCCCTTGGAAGACCAATTTCCTCTACAAACAGGGTGTTTTTACTTCCATGTTAGTTTCAGGGTGTGTATAAATATATGTTCGAATCAGGATTGTGCAGGGGGGTATGGGTTGCCATGCCCATCTCTCCCTTTCTTCATATCCATCTCCACTGCCAATCCGCCAAGCCCGGCGTGGTGAGCACGAAAGGCGCCGTGTAGGTCACTGGGCTGCTGGACCTCTGAGGATAACATCGAGTTCGGAGCGGTGACGTTTCTGGGATCAGGTAGAGGAGATTAGAAGAGGAAGGTTTGGCTTCAACTGTTATTTTCGATGCGCAAACTCGACCCGCGAAAACAGTGGCTCTGGTTGCCCAAGTCTCCTAGGAAAGTACCAACAAACACGTCGGATGCGCAACTCGACATCATCTCCGGTTGCTCACCATGTATTTGCAACGAAGCATCGACACAAATAGAGTCTCGGACGACGAGTCGGATGCCAAAAGATGCCCATCTGCGTCCAAGCAACCCCTCGAGCTCATAGAAAATGCTGGCATCTGGCTGCTGATCAACGAGCAACTCGACCTGCACACTTGGAGGACCAAACTCGCAAGGTATCTCCTGTTTCACTTAGATAAGACCTGATAAGACAATGCACTTGCACCATGGAAGGTGACAAGAGCTCATGTTTCACTGCTATGTATAGATTACAGTTGGTAGTCAATTTCTAGCGAACTCCTATTCTGAGACAAATCCATGTTACAACCCGCGGCAAAACTTGGGTTTTGTATTGTATGGTTTCAGATGCTAGTTTGCCTGTTGGACAAAATCACTTCGAAAATTCAGAAGCTGCTGAGTGTCAGTGACTGTTGGTTTCCAACCAACATCTACGAAAAAACACCACTACGGTTTAAACAACAAAACACTGGCAAAAGCGAGAGGGGGAGAGAAAACTGACATAAAACAAACTGTTGTACCCCAAACCATGTGGAGCATCAGTTGAACCTGCAGTCTTCTCGGGCTGGACGACCTCCCAAGGAGACCGAGCCTGAACCTGCAAGGCATAGGTCGTCTCCGTGGAGAGGTTCCCAGAAGCTACCTGGAGCTGCGCTGAGCTATGCTCAGTGCGATGCTTGAGAGATCCCTTCTTTCTGCTTCGGTAGAGTTCGACCCGACGACGGTGCAGGCACGATGACCGAACGACGACCCCTCCGGCATGGCGGGAAGGGTGGAAGGGTCGTTCAAACATCTGCAGTTTGAAGTGGCCAAGTCTCACGTGAGACAAGTGTCCCTTCAGTAGTTCTACGAACAATCTATGGCCAGTTCTCCTCAAATCTATGGTTAGCCCGCCATTTGTTCCCAAAACGTACAAACATAGAACAACACCATAGTTCTATTTGGAACAACCCTCATCAGAGACATGACTAGATCAGGAAACTGAATTCCCATTAGAATCTGCAGGTCCATCTCGAAGTCTTCCATAAGTGATTTGTGTTCTCTCCAAGTCACACATCGTGGTGGGTTCATGTGGTCATTGCCGTGCAACTCCACCACACTTTCCTGAGCTCTTATGAGAGATGATGCAAAACAGGTCATTGTAGGACCAAGCGGAAAGAAGGAGTGAGCGCGCCGTGATATGTGCTAGTGTCCTGGAAAACCCAAAAAAAATACTTAAGCCAGCGAGACCTTGACGAAAAAGGCCCATGTCCAATCATCACACCAACAGGAGAATTTGATCAGGCACTGCTTTGCCCAATTTCACCCTTTGAAAAAAGGCCCATGTTGTCTCGCTTTGCTTCCCCCCAGAACGCATAGACTGCTACCCCAGGCTGCCTATCAAACATGCCTTTTTCACCAACAGCGAAGCTCGGGGTCTTCAGCCATAGTAAATAGGCTTCGGAGCAGATTCGGAGCAGGCTCCGGAGGAGGTTCCGGACGAGGTTCCGGAGCAGGTTCCGGAGCAGGTTCCGGAGCAGGTTCCGGAGCAGGTTCTAGAGGAGGTTCAGGAGGAGGTTCCGGAGCAGGTTCCGGAGCAGGTTCCGGTTCCGGAGTGGAGGAGGTTCCGGAGCAGGTTCCGGAGCAGGTTCTGGAGCAGGTTCCGGAGCAGGTTCCGGAGCAGGTTCCGGTTCTGGAGTGGAGGAGGTTCCGGAGCAGGTTCCGGAGCAGGTTCTGGAGCAGGTTCCGGAGCAGGTTCTGGAGCAGGTTCCGGAGCAGGTTCCGGAGGCTGTCAAATTGGCCTTGAGCTGTTGGGGATTTTCTTGGGCTTATTTTGAGCACTTAGGACCTAGGACCTAGGACGTACGATGATGTAGGATGTCACCGTTTACACGTCAAGCCAAGTACGTCTTGCGGTCCCAACAGCCAACTCCAACGGACCCCTTCGTCCGCGCGGACGGAACGGCGCGGGAGCAAACGCGCTCCGCGTCCACCTGGTGCCGCTCTTCCACCCCGACAATGGCCCATTGAACATTGAACTGTTTGAATTGCCAGACTTCCCACCCCATCTATCTCACCTACAAGTAACGTATTTTGCTGGATCTTCGTTCAAGTTTCACAGGTGAGGTTGGGGTAAGTGATTTGATTTGAGAGCACTATATTCTTGGAGCGTAGTCTTTGCGCTGCACATCATCCATGAAATATAGATCACATCCAAGCTGCCAAGGAGATCTGGTGCAACGGATGACAAAGAACCGCGCGGAGCTTCACTGACTCTTGACGCCTGCGACCAGGCGAAACCAGCGGGCTGCGCGGAAAGAGAATTGGAAGCAGAGAAGATGGGAGAAGGGATCTCTTCTGGAAATGGTCCGTGGTCTCTTAGGGTCTCTTGAGCATGTTGTAAAGAGATCAAGATGCATAGAGTCATGGAGTCTATAGTCACTGGTCTATAGTTTGAGAGTCGCTCTACAGCCGGGAAAAAGGGAGAAACACCTTGGTTTTTAATGGTTTATGGTTGTTCGGCAGATCATAAGATGCCTGCAGCACAATCCTGGATAAGTTGATTGAACGACACCTAGGTCACTCGCATCAAACCAATGAAGAAACTGCCTGTTGTGCGTTCATCTGTTGAATGTCATTGAAAGGGTGTGACGTTCTGGTGGAATCTCAGGATGTCTTTGACCGAGGTTATCTACAGAATGTTGAGCCAGCATCTTTACCACTTCAAAGCTAAAATGGAATTGTTGCTAGCTGTTTATCCAAATGAGTGTCTTGCTTCCCAACCGCATATGTTCTCACCATCTGAAATATCACCTACATGATCAGTGAACACGAAACATTGGCGAATCCATGTTCCTTTCCCTGACCCATCTCCATTGCCTAATGATGTCGAGGCCAGGCACATCACCCTGCAACTCCTGGACGAAAGCCAAGACTGCAGGCCAAAGGGAAGAACGGAACTGCTGTCATAGCAGTTGGATGATAAAAGACACGCATGATAATGATACCGATACCCTTTGAAGTGTTTATTTGATCTTCAGCGGGGGACGATGGTATGTTGAACTGCAGATGATTTCAAACGTGTAGTGCAGGAATGTCCTGTGAATGTTCCGGATTGGGGAAGCCATTCAGTGGACCGCTTCCCACTCATACCAAACAATCCCAAATTGACTATTTATATGCAGTAAGCTGAGATGTCTCAATGTCAACATACTTGGTGAGTTGCGCAATGCAACTTCTGAACCATTCCCAGAACAATTGCCAATCAACAATGTTTTGGCATTCTCCAGCCATAATTAGAGGGAGAAAAGGGGAAGATTCGTCATGATCAGCTTCGACCCTCACAGCCACTCAGCACTCCAGCACTCAGCGCTCATGCTCCATCGTGACCCTCAAAGGCGCCTCGTACTTCGGTGATGTATCGCAATTCGGCGCATCGGGGAGGCTTCCGTACCTCGTCGAATTGGGAGGCGACGCATGGCAACGCGACGCCACGCAACGGGCGAAGCTCGCACGCGTTTCGCGGCGTTTCGATTGGTGTCCGGTGTCCAGTGTCCAAAGTCTTCATGGTCACATGCTCACATGAATATGAAAGAGATATGATATGACCTCGTTGAGCATATTCACACTGGTCCAATCTCTTTGAGCGAGGTCAAGTGAATGTCAAAGAGATCATGCTCACATGCTCAAGCGCCGTACCCTGTAAGTAATCTCGACCATAGACTCATCGCTCAGGAATGCACTCTGTAGCTCAACCTACCTCCAGTTGTTTTTCGGTTGTGGTACACCAAAAACACTCCGCATCGCTTCTGAGGCGATAGCTTCTAGCTAGTTTGCTGGCTAGTCGTCTAGTTGGCGTGCTGGCTGGTCAGCTAGCTAGCTAGTCAGCTGGCTAGCTAGTCAGCTGGCTAGCGAGCCAGCTGGCTAGCGAGTCTTCGAGCCACTTAGATGGTGAATCGGTAAGTCCGTTACTTAGTTGGTTGGTTCCTCGGTTAGTTAGTGACTTCGTGAGTTACCTAGTGACCCAGTGGCTGATATGGTCCTAGTTTAGTATAGTTAGTTTGGTTGGCTCAGTCGGTTTAGTTAGATTAGCTGGTTTGGTTCGTTTAGTTGGTTTAGTTTGTTCATGTACGGAGTTTAGCTGGCTTAGTCAGTTAGTCTAGTAGTTTAGTTAGTTTAGTCTAGTTTAGTTTACTTAAATGTGTTTTTAGTTTTGCTTATGGTTTATTTCAGTTTAGCTTAGGTTAGTTCAGTTTGGTCCAGTTAGTTCAGTTTAGCTAAGTTTAATTGCGTTTAGGTACGCTTGGTTGCGTCTAGTGTATACTTAGTTAGTTGGTTAGTCAGTTGATGTGTCAACTCGTTACAACTGGTGAGTCAGTTAGTTCCGTTGTGAGTTAGTTAGTTAGTTGGTTAGTTAGTTGGTTAGTTCGTTAGTTAATTAGTTAGCTAGTTAACTAGTGAGCTAGTTAGTTAGTTAGTTAATTAATTAGCTGGCGCCAGTTTGTTAGTTCGTCCGTCCGTCCGTCCGTGCGTCCGTCAGTGGGTCAGTCAGCCAGTCAAGCGGTGTCAGTTTGTCGGTGAGTAAGTTAGTCAGTCCGCCGCTCGGTCAGTCAGTTAGGTAGTTAGTTGATTTTGCTAGTTGGCTAGTTAGATCATGAGACAGTTAGTGAGTTTGTTAGGGGCTTATATGATCCTGGTTGGGCCTGGAACCTGCAATCCCCAGCTCCTATATCCATTGGGCCACAGGCCATGAATACCCGCACCAAAAAGCCACGGAACAAAAGATCATCGTCGGCTATGAACTATCCGGCTGTGATTCCGGGTGAACTGGCAAATGTAAGTTCATTCGACCCAACCGCAGAGCAAGTGCTCAAAAAGTTGTAGTCAGTAGTAGTAGTAGTAGTAGTAGTAGTAGTAGTAGTAGTATCCCCTGTAAAATTCACACGACCACCCAGGGGGTACCATTTTATGCCTACAAATGTGGCCCCCCAGGTTCAAACCAACCAATCCACTACAAAATCCAGCCCCCCGAGATAGATACCTTAAGTCTACAATATTGGGTTGTGGGTTGGCCATAGTGAGCTCACAGAAATTTATCAGAAAAGTGCGCTCTCTATAAAATCAATCCCTGCTAGTTGCAAGCGACACTCCAACAAATGCAAAGCCACATCCCGATGCATTTCCTGATGCATTTCCCGATGCATTTCCCGATGACAAACCCGATGACAAACCCGATGCGCTCACCTTTTTCCTGACAGAATCTGACGCTCACTGATTCTGAATCCCCACAGAGCTGATCACAGCTGTGCTTTCTGCCCTCAGAGTCATGGCCCGTCCATGTCCATGCGCATGGGGCACTCTTCAACTTTAAGGTGCTTGAAAAGCTTTTGGCGAACAGTGATTGAACAAGTTTGAACTTGAACATAATTGAACTGCTAGGGCTTGAAAAGCTTGAAATTCTTTTTGGTATCTTTGCTTGGCCATGTTGGGCGTTCACAGCTCACAGCTACAATTTCCCCAGAGACTAGGGCCACTATGCTTCACTCAACGATACTCAAAACTCAGTCGAAGATGCTTTCAGCGATGTCTTTCAACAACGCAAGCCACAGCTTTCTCCTGCGAGGCTCTGCATTGAAGCCATTATTGATCGCTGTGAGGTGGCGATCCACTGCCCGACCCCAGTTCACAGAACTCTTCTTTGCGTACCTAGCGTTTGAGTGAGCATCAACAGAGTGGCACTCAGGCATAGCCCACCTGATTCTGTAGAAGGGTTCTTGATTTTGTAGAAGACCGTGATTCCAAGGACTGCACCCCCCTGAATTTTATAGAGATTGTGGTAGGGCAAACCTAAAGCCCACTGATTCTGTAGAGAGCTTAATTTCTTGGACAGGCCCAACAAATATCTTTTGAGATCAGCTGAGATGCTCTGCCCTGAAGTATTTAAAAGCACCATTCAAGAACGAGCTCCAAGGCTGTCCAAAGCACTTGCCAGCCTTGAATTTGCACAAGTCATCCGCATTCCAGATCCTTGCATCAGGGAACACCTCGTCATCTTTCTTCCGCAGCTTCTCGACCACTTGCTTGATGAGGATCTCACCCTGCGGTGTCCTCCTGAAGTTCTGTGGAATGGGTTGCGCCTGCGCTGGAACATCTGCAGCAGCAGCGCCTTTCTTGGGTTTCTTGATGAACACCTTTTTTGCTTTTCCATGATGCGCTTTCTTTGCCGGCTTCTTCTTTCTCTTTCGGCCATTCCCAGGCAGCACCATGCCCGACAGGACATTGGAAGCACAGCCGGATTCCTCCTCCAAAGAGGGCCACCACGCGGCAATGAAACGCATCTCTTTGGTCAGTTCCTGGGCGCGAATGAAACAACATGACATAAAGGATATATGAATTAAAAACATCATAACTATTTGAAGAATATAATATATTATAATATAAAAATCTGCGCAAGAAAAGGTCTGATCTTGTCTGAATGGACTTCGAGGTGCATTGGACTTCTCACTCAGCTGTACAGTGATTCCATCTGCAGTCTCTTCATAGCCATCATCCTTGGCAACTTCAAGGATTGCCACAATGGTCTGGGGGCGAAGGACAACGGCATCAGAGCGAGCATTGCAAGTCCAACCTCTCTCGCCCTCCGTCATGGTCACAACACGGATGCCCATGGCGTGGTTGATAGAAATGGCAGTGGTGGCTAGCTTTGGCTTTTTCGTCCCATGCCACACAGAGGTCACAAGGGCAACACACCCGGTCACTTCTTGGCGTTGGTTCCAGCTCTTGGGCATAACGGCCAGCACAATATGGCCCATCCTCGTTCATACGGCTAGATGTCTAAAAAGCTTTACATACAAAAGAAATCAAAAGAAAGGGCCTATAGGCCGAACAGTTTAACCAAAAAGGAACGCCTCTAGCCTGAGCATGCCTGAGCGTCTCAATTGAGTCTGGCAGCTGAACCTCGACTTCATGGCTTTTGGCCGCTTGCTCTGCAATCTCTCTCCACTTTGCCAATCGCGAAGACCGCTGTCGATGAGCAGTTGTATCCTCTTCTTCAGCGAGCTCTTTCAGCTTGGCATTATTCCACCTTGATATCAGCACGATGCTTCTCTACAAAATGAGGGCGCACAGGTTTATTAACTCAAACCCATAATTTTATAGAGAATTTGGTGACTAACACGGGGGATGCAAAATGAAGCAAGATGCAGAAAGAACACTATTTCAATTGTTTGTGGAAGACTGGGATGAAAGTTCCTGTCAGCTTCCAGGGGCATTAAAAAATATAATCCCCTGATTTTATAGAGGAAAGATGCAGAAAGAACTTTATCAGTTCATTACTTATTAGGGTTGG